TAGATCAAAGTTGCTTATGCCATGCCTTGAAGCTAAACCTCATTGCTAAATGCTTGTATATCTCAATATTGAAAGTTGAAACAGTATAAGACAATAATCATGATTCATTTAAATAGAATGAAGAGGATATTCAAGTAAATTTAAGATACCGTTATCTGAAATATGATATCTCTTATGGGTAAACTTTTTGTACAAAAACTGCTAGATTATGTCGGCCTACTGGATTAAATATAGTGAGATATAGGTATATATGTCTGCTTCATGCAGTGATATTTAAAAACTTGTCAACAAAACTTCAACAAGTATTGATGTGGAACATTGACTGGTTTCATACCCTATTATAAACGTTATATAAGAACTTGATCTCAAGATGCATGGTCACGGTAATAAAATCACATTACCTCTCTATTTAAAAAACTCTGATATGTCAAGATGATTTTCAAAATATCAGATTACACCAGTCTAGATTTCTAAAAAGTTGACAAAGAAACTTGAATGTTTATATCATACAAGACTTCACCTGTCATTTCAGTATAACTCATAGGAATTTATTTCAACAATGTTTCTGCATTATATACATAATTATATATAGATAAATATTGAGATATTTTAAAAGTTATGATTACTAGATAAGGAAAATAGTCACCTAAGTTAACCTGAATATAACAATTAAGAAAGCCCTGTATATTTGTGGTATTGTGCACAGTTTTTGTGATAAAAGAAAATTATATTTTTCACCAAATGTTCGTCAGTTAATATTGACAGTCTGCCATTGATTGCTGATGGTGGAAGTTGCTTATATGGAAGACTGATTCCAGTTTGGATCAAGGATTATGAATCCAGTTGTCAAAGACAGCAATGCTTTGAAATTGTCCTGTAAAAGCCAATTATGACTTGAATTTAATTGCAAGGAAACATTGAATTGGTCTGGATCATACAACTTTCATTAAAATTCATATTTACAGTAAATTATCGTTGCTTGAAATATTTGAGGAAATTAAATTAAATTAGACTTATACAATATTGTTGAGATCATACCAAGCCTGTCTGTAGAAACAAGCTGACTTAAACTGCAAAAAACTCTAAGAAACAATTATATGAAAAGTTAACTTAAAACCATGTTATTTATGAATTAATAATGAACATGTCTAGTCTTATTATATTGAAATATATAGAAATATAATATTATAATTAGATATAATTTTAGTTTCTGATAAAAAGAAACTAATTATTAGATTGACTATGAGAAGTATTAATTCTAAAAAGTTGATTTCTACCTACATTCATTATTATTCAAATCTAGTCATACAGAAATATTAAATTGATATATATTTTACGGGCTCCTGGGCAAATTGCCGAAATTTGTAAGCCTGGTTTGAGTGTGAAACTTTATACATGGTGGATTTCTATTGATGATCCGTAGTTAATTGTTTGATTGTCAACTGTTTTGTTGTATGAAAAGATTATTCAGAGATCAAATCAACTGGTTTATTCACATTTCTTCTAAAGGATATTTGACCATAATATTTTTCAAGTCGTGGGACCAATACTAGGGTTAATGTATGATAGTTAGTTATTGTATATAGAGAAGTTTAACTGACCCTGACTGTATTTTCACTCCTATGTGACAATAATTTTGATGTTTTGTTAGAAAATGTATCTGGTTAAGAAAGGATCAATATGATTTGTTGTAGATGGAGAATAAATTGTATCAATCCATTCTCTGGATCAGGTAGTTCTTTATAATTATTTATCTCTTTGGCTCCACAGGATATTTTGTCAGGGCAAAAGGACGCCTTGTCAAGGAAATGTGATTTTTTTCAGTTAAATGAGAATTGGTCCTATAGAATTATCCCTCTTTTGATCATATTATGATTTTCAATTAAGTTTTTTTCATATAATATGAATAAACTTACAGAAATAATAAAGAAACAGATGTGAACTGTTTGTAGTAAAACTGAGTTGAAAGACACAATGGCAGAGTGACAACTGTTTTAGAAAGAGGTTTTCTAAAAAAATTTGTGTGTGTCGTAGACGCTGCTTTTTGCCATTCCAATGGTTAATTTTGTGCTTTCGACAACTCTTTTTGACAATCATTAAGTTCTGTGTTCGAATCTTTGCTGTTTCTTAAAAAAACATTCTTGATAGTTGTCCCTAATTTTGGCAAAATTTTTGTAAATGGTTGTAGAGTTTAATTTAGTACCTATTAAAATGTTTAGTTACTAAACTAATATAATGATAAAACTACCCTGTCAGGTACTAGTTAATCTCGGTACATATTACTATCCCTTTCATCTCTTCTAATCATGTGTGACTAACAACGGTCAATATACTGACCACTTGACTAGATTGACCAGTTTCACAAGTAAATAATATATTTAGTTAGTACCTTGCTTAGAAACTGTATCACGTATTTCATTCAGTCAATGGATTCTTTATTGTGGTATAATTGACTATTTTCATTGATTATAGTAATGATATTGCATTTCATTATAAAGCCGATCATATACTTGTATGATATGATATGGCATTAGTTGCAGAAACATTTAGTCATCAAATGTATGATATCGTAAGTATTGTGGTTGGATGGGAAAAAGCCTATTAAAAAAGATTAAAAAGTCAAAATTTTAATCCTGCACAATAGTGTTTACAAACAGTGCAAGTCATGAAAGAATTGACATTAGTACCTTCTAGGTGCGTGACAGTATTTTGTCTCTAAACTTTGAATAAACATTGGCATCAGGCCAACACTTTTTTGTCAAATTTTGGTAGTTCTTGACAGTGGTCTTTAAGATTTAAAGGATTTCTGCTAATTTGAAGACGCCTTCTAGAATTTTAGTCAAAGGTGTTAACTTGCTTAAACAGGGTGTTAGTCAAGAAGTTAGTAATGTCAGGAAATTTTATTAGATATGAATGTATTCCAATATGATGGTAAGTTATTAGTAATGTCAAGTCAAATTCTATAAAATATGTATTCAATTATGATTCAAGAAATTCTATAAAATATGAATGTATTCTAGTGTTAGGGTGTATTGAGAGGAGTCTCAATGAAAGCACTGGCCTAGGTCACAGAGCAATAGATAAGTCTATTAATTATGTGAAAATTAGTTAGTCTTTAGTATGATTTTGGTTGAAAAGACACACATACACTGCATGTTATATAATATACTGTATATAGCTATGGCATGATGGTGAGTTGTAAGTATTATCAGGAAGTTCTATAAAGTATGAATGTTTCTAGTATGATGGTAAGTTGTAAGTATTGTCAGGAAGTTCTATAAAGTATGAATGTATTTTAGTATGATGGTGAGTTGTAAGTAATGTCAGTAAGTCCTATAAAGTATGAATGTATTCTAGTATGATAGTGAGTTGTAAGTATTGTCAGGAAGTTCTATAAAGTATGAATGTATTCTAGTATGATAGTGAGTTGTAAGTAATGTCAGTAAGTCCTATAAAGTATGAATGTATTCTAGTATGATGGTGAGTTGTAAGTATTATCAGGAAGTCCTATAAAGTATGAATGTATTCTAGTATGATAGTGAGTTGTAAGTATTGTCAGGAAGTCCTATAAAATATGAATGTATTCTAGTATGATGGTGAGTTGTAAGTAATGTCAGGAAGTCCTATAAAGTATGAATGTATTCTAGTATGATGATGAGTTGTAAGTAATGTCAGGAAGTCCTATAAAGTATGAATGTATTCTAGTATGATAGTGAGTTGTAAGTATTGTCAGGAAGTCCTATAAAGTATGAATGTATTCTAGTATGATGATGATTTGTAAGTATTGTCAGGAAGTTCTGTAAGATATGAATGTATTCTAGTATAATGGTAAGTTGTAAGTATTGTCAGGAAGCTCTGTAAGATATGAATGTATTCTAGTATGATAGTGATTTGTAAGTATTGTCAGGAAGTCCTATAAAATATGAATGTATTCTAATATGATGGTGAGTTGTAAGTATTGTCAGGAAGCTCTGTAAGATATGTATGTATTCCAGTATAATGGTAAGTAATGTCAGGAAGTCCTATAAAATATGAGAATATTTGGCATTACCTTGATCGACTTAATGGTTTAGCTTTGTATAGATACCAAAAGCTATGCCAAATTGTCACTGTGAAAATTCTCAAAATGGAGCAATTCCCATGGAAATCGACATTATATGTCTGGCCCTATCCTATCAGAGGAACTGGCTACACTAATCCATGTCAGGTTTCAATACTAGCTGATATACAGTAGTAGAGTAGCAAACAGTTGAAATAGTTAATTTCTACTGATTAGGTTTGTTCTTAGCAAATTGACTCTTAATAATGTTCATCAAAAAGTGTATTTCAAACATCATATGCCAATTATATCAATTGATATATGAAAGTTATGCTATTTAGAAACTAGAATGTAAAGAGATAATATAAGTTGAAATCAGTACATGTAATAATGTCTATATATTTTCTGATAACAATATTATTAGCCCAATTTGATTGTATACGATTAGTTTTATAAGTGCACCTCAATATTTTAATAGAATCTTAAGTCAATGTTTGAATTAGGTTGGTTATGTTAAGGTTGAAATGAACTGAATAAACAGGGTCAAAAGAAAATTATATTTTATCTTAGGTTTAACAAATTATGTTCATACACCATAATTATACACATAGAGATTTTTTTAAAAATGTGAAGAAAGTTATGGTAGAATGTGAAATCTGTTCATAGCAGGTATAGAAAGTTCTCTTAACCATGGTTGTGATTATATACAATATTATTGTATTCATATATCTGATATTGGGACCTAAGTTAAAATGAAAAAAGTAAAGAGTTGTCATCTACATATTGTCAAGCTATCAAAAACTGTCTGTTATACCATGACTTCATCAGGCACTTTTCTTGAACGGGTATCTCATAGGTTTGTAATTGCAGAAATTCGATTGTTTCCAAATGGCTGAACAAAATGATACTTGTTTCACAAGTAACTACATGTATAACAATATTTGATATTACAGGTAATAAAATGGCAGGATTTGTACGGAAATGTCCCTGTCTTAAACCACAGATAGAAGATGATGTAACAGTATTAGATTATAGACATTGTAGTCTAGCTGATGTACCTGGTGAAGTTTTTAATTTTGAGAGAACTCTGGAAGAACTATTAACAGATTCTAATCAGATTAGAGATTTACCAAGGGTAAGTAGTATTTTTCATGTTTAAATGAGTTTATAAAATTGTTGCAATGGGAATGCCTTCCTGAGTATTTCTATTTTGTAGAGAATTAAAGCTGCATATTTGCATGTTCTGAAGTAAAATTACATCAGGCATCCCTTTACAGGAATTTATTGAGTCAAAGGTCGTCATAGAGAGAAGATTAGTAGACCAAGGGCAGAAGAAGAACATTATTGAGGACTTTTAAGACAAAGCATATCATTGAGGACTTATGACAAAGCACATCATTGGGGACTTAAAACAAAGCACATCATTGGGGACTTAGGACAAAGCATATCATTGAGGACTCAAGACAGAACACATTATTGAGAACTTAAGACAGAACTCATCATTGAGAACTTAAGACAGAACACATCATTGAGGACTTAAGACAGAACTCATCATTGAGAACTTAAGACAGAACTCATCATTGAGAACTTAAGACAGAACACATCATTGAGGACTTAAGACAGAACTCATCATTGAGGACTTGAGACAAAGCTCATAATTGAGAACTTAAGACAGAACACATCATTGAGGACTTAAGACAGAACACATTATTGAGGACTTGAGACAAAGCTCATAATTGAGAACTTAAGACAGAACACATTATTGAGGACTTAAGACAGAACACATTATTGAGGACTTTAAGACAGAAGACATTACTGAGAACATCTTTGACATCCTTAGGTCAAAAATTTTTTTTTACCAAAATCATTGATTCAGACATACAAGTTTTTTTGTAAGAACTTGAAATGATGACAAGTAGACATATTGGCGTACTCTTAAGCTAGAAAGATGAAAGTTTATTATTATTTTAAACATGTTAGTGTATACAAGTCATGTAGTTGATGTAAATTTAAAGAATGTGTAGATGTTGTATTGATTTAATAGAATTTATAAACCAGATGTAGATAATGAGTTTGGCACATGCTGCTAATCAGACATCATAATTACATTATTTAAAAATATTCTTTTAAATTTAACTGGATATTGTATTGGGTTGCTGAATATTCCATTCGTGTCTTCATAAACTTGAAAAAATATTTTATTTTAGTCAAAGAGACTTTTTTATGATTTTCCTTAACGAACATTGGTAAAATATCCAACTTCATTAAATTTTAAGGGTCGTGAGTCATTTTCATATTTTTGTGATGGCAGCTTCTTCGCCTAACTTTACTGGTCAAGGCAAAGATTTTGTGGTTGACCAATGCAACAAAAGATTCTGCAAAAGTGATCACTATTTTTGCGAGTTATCCTATTGTCTAATTTGATAAAGGTAGCTGAAAGGATAGAGGATAACAGGTACTAGTGTAAAGTGACAGGGATATCTTCACTTAAGGGTTAGATGTCAAGATTGAATGCTAAACTTAAGATCTTGAGTTTGTTCATTGTCAGATATTAAGCCCTAGGAAATAATACTAGACCTCATGTTGATCAGTAAGGTTTTTTCCTATTAAAATAGACAAATTGTACTGTATTTGTTTGAAAAATCTGTGCGAAAAGTTGTTAAACACACTACAATTTCCAGAGTTAAATCTGTGAAGGTTACATTTTGTTAATTAAACACACCAGACACGTTTCTAGTTAAAATCAACCTAAATAGTCTGTTTCAAAACATCTTTATTTTCTCTTTAAATATATTAAAAAAACAGTTGGCTAGATAACTTTACAAACTTTGTCTGGTATTTCATTATAAATATTTTCTTTGTTTCATTGTTAGAACCCTTGATTATTTCTTAGAACTGCTGAATTTTCATGGTTCTTTTATAAACTTATACCTTTGTCCTACACATAATATAAATCTCTGAAAAACTGATAGATTATTATCTGTGAATGCCTTAAGTTGTCTTTACAATGATGTTTTTCTTTACCTTTCATAATTTTGTCAGGGACAGTTGATTTTGAGTTTTACATTTAACAAGACCATATCTTTCTTTATTCTGAAATATGCAATCAGCACTTATAAATAGATGTGAGTGAGAAGATAGTGCCATAATATATAAAAAAAATGTAAAAATCACAGTTTGTAGATAATTGTATTTATAAGAACTATTTTATTGTTATGATATCAAGATATGAACTTACAGGAACTATTTAATTTTATTTACAGGAACTATTTAATTGTATTTACAGAAACTATTTTATTGTATTTACAGGAACTATTTCATTGTTATGGTATTGGAAAGTTAAGATGTTCATAGTCCCTGTTCATTTACTAAAGACTAAATAATTGTACTTACAGGAACTATTTTATTGTATTTACAGGAACTATTTTATTGTCATAGTATTAGAACGACAAGATGTTCATAGTCCCTGTGCATTTACTAAAGACAATAATTGTACTTACAGGAACTATTTTATTGTATTTACAGGAACTATTGTATTGTTTTTACGGGAACTATTTTATTGTATTTACAGGAACTATTTTATTGTCATGGTATTAGAAAGTTAAGTATTAGTGACAATGAGATTATAAATATACCACCAGCTATCTGCAGTCTCAATAACCTTGAAGAACTCAACTTCAGTAAAAATGGTAAGATTTGTCTTATTTTCAAATGTTATTTACATAAATCTGAAGACATCTTGTGTCCAGAAACATTCCTTTGGTGTCAGTGGAAAGGTCATTCTCAGATACAATTCCTGCTAATTCATGGAACTCAGCATACCAAGTATTTAAGTTTTAACCATGTCTTATTATCTTAGCCTTGTCTAGGTTGCAGGTCTCAGTCATTTAAGTAGGTTTTGTTAAGTATGACTAACAAATGCAAGACAATTCCATTAATCAAAATCTTGTCCATAACATGGCAAAATCCAGAGTAAAATAAAATACCATCATGTGTTTCGAAAAGGCATGGTCTGCTTCGTGCGCAACACCCATCCTACTATAGGTCAACCAGATCAATTTATGTCCTACCAAACAAATTGGCCAATATGCAAGTTCCAGAAGTTGGCTTTATATACCATACAATTACAATATTCCTATTCTTAAAAGACTTTAAATGAAGTCAGTTGTGTGAAGAATGAAATCAAAATTAAAATGAGGTTGTATATGTATATGAATTTGAATAATTATTGTGTACTTTGCAATATTATTTGCAACCATTTCAAAAAGAAGTGAACCTTGAAATTTGTTAAATTAACTATGAGATGAGAATACATCTAGTATAAGACGTAAATAAAATCTTAATAAGAATGATGGTATAATGTAAAATAATACTAGTTATATATATATATGATATGTAATATGGTGTATTTTAAAGGGTTTGTTAAAAGGTTTTCTAAATTTGTTATGTGTATCAGGGACATTGATAGCATCAATTTGCACCATTCCAATTTTCGATCAGACGTCTGTGGTTCCTGCAATTCCACTAAAACTAAGTGTTTGATGACGTCACTTATCACGATGTGCCTTATGTGATATAGTGTAATTGTGGTATCATATACTTAGTTTAAGTGGAATTGCAGGAACCACAGACTTCTGATTGCAAATTGATGCTATCAGTGTCCCCATAAAAAAATTAAACCATATCTACAATGCCTTTAAGTCAGAAAGATGGTATATGTAAAGTAATACTAGTTTTATAAATGATATATATGTAATATTCTGTATTTTAAGTTGTAATTCACTAGACTACATATTGTCTAATATTTTAATAGCTTAATATTGAATTACAATTACACCTCTCAAATCATGTCAAAACACTCAAATATTTTCTATGCTCTAATAAAGAATTATTGTATTCCAATGTAGTTAAACCCGTATTTTATAGTATTTATCATTATTCTCATGTTCATTATAAACTTTTAACTACTGACCTATCTTTCTTCTGATCTGAACTTAGTTACTCCCTTAAACTTAGCTTATTCTATTCTTACCTATATTATAATAGAATAGTTTTTTTCTTTAGGTTTGAATAGATTCTATTCATATATTTCATAATAATAATGTTTGATTTCAAAACAGTGCATTCTAAAGTTCAATTGTAGTTTAAAAGCCTTATTATAACTAGAATTCTATTCACATTTTATGACAACATAAAAGAGATAGGGACTTAATAGCCTAGAAATTTTTGCAATATGTTAAGGAATTTGATTAAAATGTAGCCATGTTTCCCCAATTTTCTGCTTAATCTCTGATCTGACTTAGAAAGTGTCTACTATTAACCATTTGTTTTTGATTGATAAGTTCTACATTATGGTGTATTCTGGTTAATATTTGGCTGAACACAACTAAGAGAAGAATTTCTTCAGATCATGGATAATGGTTGTAGTATACTGCAGATATAGCATGAAACTAAACATCTTTATTTCATCCAGATTTAAGAATTAAGATATGTAAAAAATCAGAAACTCATACCTATGACCTATTTTAGAATAATTTTTGTCTAGTAAAGGTTTTCAATCTTGATTATAAATTTGCAAAACAGGCCAAGATTTATAGCTAATGTAAAATATATGCAATATATATTGTTTTGAAATGTAACATAATATAATAAAAGTTTTATGATAGATAATTAGAAAAATAAAATACATATATGCTAGTACACGTATTACTATATATCAAGATAACCAAATAGTTTGTACTTATTCGTAATAACTTCTAATACTTCTTTACATTACCATTTGACAATTTCTTTTATCTTTTTTGTAATGTTTTCTTTGATGTTTAGAGTGAATAATATTGGTATAATTTGTATTTAATAATGTTCAATTTGTAAGATTACATGGGGATCAATCATATGTATGTAGTAAATAAAATAGAGACAAACTATAAGAATAGGCAAACAGACCATAATTTTCTTATCAATATAATCTGTGTAATATTGTTTGTCCTGTTTAAAAGGTTGTAATAATTGTATGTGATAAATATCTTGAATAACTGTCAGTTTCTCTAGGCTAATTGTACGACAACAATCTTCCCCCCACTATATTTGATGGTAAAAACTGATTTGATTGAAAAGACATAAAACATGAAAGGAAAGATTAAACATTTGACGAAGGATGTTGAAGTTATCGATGGTGAACGAGTAGACTGATTTTATAAGAGAGTGGTTGACAAGTTCATTCTATTTATCTATTTTTAAAAATTTGTTATTTTACTTTTATTTTTGTTTAATTTGCCAAAGAAATGCACTTGACTGCACCAAATTACACTTTCATTCTTTAAAGATATATTTTATCACTGATTTCCTTTGATACATGTCTGGGTGAGGTCTAGTCAAGCAGAAAAATTCAAATTGAGCTGTTTGGGTATGCTTGTTAAACATTAACACCTATTGACACAAACACCTTTTTTAATATGAGACAAATTATAATCAATGTCAATGTGTAGTATTATATAAATGCTTAGTGCCAGAAGTTTCTTTTCATAATCTTATATATTATAGAATATGATTATCTACTATTAGGTTATTTAAATTGTCTGACAGCAATAAGAGGGCAATTCTTCTGAGTATTTTAAATCAATAATATTTTTGCTACATAAGACATCAACATTGATTAAAGGCCATATTGTGTCATTTTTGGGGGTTGATTTGGGTCTTGAATATATAAATAGTCTAACTAGACCTGCAGGAAAATCGCATAATCCCTTCAAATATACTTCAAACTAGAAACTTCACTTTCTTTTTCTATGTGTGTCTTTTCTGTATGCAGGGATTTGAAGACTCAAATTTCAAACAGTGAGCTGTGAATACTAATAGTTATTAACTTAGATATTTCTTGTTTCTGAGACTAAAGTATGATTGTTCAAAAGGATGGCAAACCTGTCCTTTAAAATTAGTTTGAAAATAGATTGATGTGATTCCAAAGAAATATTTTACCCTTTTTATACGCCCACATCTCTCTTTGTGGACGTATATTGTCGGCACCCCTGTCCGTCTGACTCGAATTTGAGCTATTTTCGACCGTTAGAAGCAGAGTTATTGCTCTTGCCCCAAAATCTTGAATATTTACCATCCGCATGCCGTGGTGGGCGTATATGGCTGTGGCCCACTATCTTTGTGGGTACTATTCTGATTTTTTGTCCTATATATCTGTGATTAACACAGATTACCTACAGATTATAATATAAAAGACCAGTTAATGATATTATAATTCATTCAAGAGCTCTGTTGTTAACCATGACCTAATATATATTTTGTTGTAGGTGTAATAGATGTACCTGAAACTATAAAACAATGTAAATTATTATCTGTGATAGATGCTAGTGTTAATCCACTTGGCAAGTAAGTCAACCTTTTTTTTAGTATACATTGTTTATTTTTACAGTTTACATACACACCATTTTATATTACTCTGTATCACATTGGTGATGTTTCTAATAACTATATATACCGGTAAAATGTCAGATTCATCAAAAATGTCACTTAATATTGAATTCATAAAGTTACTCATAAATGAAAAGATTCCTGAATGATATGCCGTTTAAGAATTCTAAAAACTAGAAAGAGTAGTGATCATTTGTTGTACATTAGAATCTCTAAGAGATCTGAGAAATGAAACAAGTCTGCAACAATTGATAATGCTTGGGTTATACAGACAGTTTTTGTTCAGGATTTTTTGTTGCAGACAAGAGTTTCACTGAACACCTGTTGGCACACAAGCAAACAGAAAAACTCCAACCTGCAGTTTTCAGCTGTGTCGATAATCATGTGATTGAAGTGAGAAGGAATCTCATTCTGACGCTTTGTGAACAAATTTGGTAACAAATATCAAATTGGTTTAATGTCATAAATTCTGTTGGCAATGCGGTAATATTGTCATGGAAGTTCAGGCACACATGAAATTTAACTCAAGATTTCTGTGGGCAACAAAAATCGACAACAAAAATATTTTGTGTGTAGTCCCCAGTATTACACATCATCCATACTTTTCTTAATTCATATTTTATGTGTGTTTAGATTTTCTTCATATTTTTGATATTTTGACTTAAGTCCATTGTCAAATAAACTTATCATATACTACTAGATTTGATAAATTTTATAAATTTGATAGTCGTGTAAACTGTCTTATTAAATAAACACAAAGATTAATTCAATGGAGATAAGGTTGTGTTTTAAGGTTTATAAATTCCAATGAGAGGGTGGGTTTGTATTATTGTACTCTATCATTGTCCAGTTTGTCAACTATTGTTACTTTCACTGTAATTATCATTATATAAAATACCAGCTATTCACTCTGACAACTAGCCATACTTTACTAACAAGAAATCTGTCTCCTTTTAATTTATTTCAAAATTTAATTTACAATGTTTGTTCTTTGCCAAGAATGAAGGCTTAAGAACCTAAGGTTGAAAAAAAGTTATTTGGATGAGCTATAAACTTTGATACATGTATTCCTTAAAAAAATGTATATATTGTTCTGACACAGTTTTGCTCTTTGCCAACTTCATGTAATTTCCATTCTTCAGTATCGTATAAGCTATCGAAATTTATAATGTAAAATTCCACTAAATTTGTTTAAATTTTACTTTCAGACTTCCTGATGGTTTTACTCAGTTACAGAATTTAACCCAACTATATTTAAATGATACCTTCTTAGATTATCTACCTGGTAGTTTTGGCAGGTAAGTTATGAGATAACTTTTTATAGGTTGAAAATTTAGAATCATTATCTTTACAAATTTATAGTAGCTGGATTTGCTAAGATTTTTTATACATATTTACAACTTTTCACCAATGATTTTCATAGTCTTATCCTTACCACTGATTCTTATGTTTAAATCCTTACCACTGATTCTCGTGTTTAAATCCTTACCACTGATTCTGATGTTTAAATCCTTACCACATATTCTCATAATCAAATCCTTACCACATATTCTCATGGTCAAATCCTAAACACAGATTCTCATAATCAAATCCTTACCACAGATTCTCGTGTTTAAATCCCTACCACATATTCTCATAATCAAATCCTTACCACATATTCTCATAATCAAATCCTTACCACAGATTCTCATAATCAAATCCTTACCACAGATTCCCATGTTTAAATCCCTACCACATATTCTCATAATCAAATCCTTACCACAGATTCTCATAATCAAATTCTAAACACAGATTTTCATAATCAAATCCTTACCACAGGTGCTCATTATCAAATCCTAAACACAGATTCTCATAATCAATCTTTACTACAGGTTCTCATAATCCAATTTCAGACTGACCAAATTAAAAATTTTTGAAATAAGAGAAAATCATTTGAAGACTCTACCTCAGTCATTTAGTAGATTGATAGAAATAGAGAGATTAGATATTGGTAATAATGAATTTACAGAGTTGGTAAGTTGTCAATAGATTATGTAGATTACTTAATCATCTGATAATACAGGGTTCTTATTATGTGGTAATGCTGAACTGGAAATTAATAGCTGAGCATACTGCAATAGCCACCTTTCTTGTATCACAGAAGTTTGTAAATGCAACAAATTGGTAAGAATAAAGCAAATTAGAGTCCTCGAGAGAAAGTTTGTGCACAAAAAGCCATAATTTTTTACGGTCTGTCTGAGGGCTATGTTTAGTTGTATTCACTGGCATATATTCCAATTTATTCGCTGCATTCCATGATATAAGAAAGGTAACTATTACAGTCAAGGTATAAGACAAGGTTCTAATAGCTTGGCATTGTGAAGATGAAGCTGAGCTGAATTTCATTAGCTGCTATGTATTGCCCAAATGTTATTTTGTGTTTTGCTTTGCTGTTCAGATTATTGTACCAGGGTTTTTTATTATTATTTGTAATATTCATAACTTTATTTTTCAGCCAAAATGTATAGGAAGTTTAGTGAAATTATCTGAGTTATGGTGTGATAGTAATCAGATTAAAGATATACCACAGGTTAGTTTCATTTACTTCAACAAGATATCTTTTGTCCTGTATTGGACATCTTTGAGGTAGCATATGAATCCTGATTCCCGATTTAAGGAACATGTGTGTCCAAAATAATCAGTGTTTGAATGTTAAATAGATGACTCATCTTTTCTTGAAACTCTGTCATAAATATAAAAGACATATATGATAGAAATAGTATTTCTAGTTTGAGGTATATTTGAAGGAATGATGCGTTTTTCGTACATTTCTAGTACTCCTGAAGACTATTTACATATATTCAAGACCCAAAAAACACCTGTGAACCATATTGTTTAAGATAATTGGTGTCATATATATAGCTTTAATTGATTTGAATTCTCCAAAAAAAGAAATAAGTACTACATCTTTTGAATATCATATGTTATGAATGTTCTACTTTCAGTCCATTGGGAATTTGAAGGAATTGATGTTCTTAGATGCATCTAAAAATAGAATAAAGACCATTCCAGATGAAATTGAAGGATGTAGTTCATTAGCTGATTTACATTTAACATGTAATAGATTAGAGGAATTACCAGAAACATTAGGTATGGTTTTTATTTCTGGCCTTCTGAGATGAAGCTCCTGCAAATGACCATTTATGGCGCTATTTTGGAGGTTCAACAGCTTGACAACAATGATAAAATTAGCTAAATTGAAAGTGTTGTACGAAAAATAAGGCATGATGATTGAATTGAATCTTTTTCTTATTTGAGAGATAATTGCACACTGTACAATGTTGCTCGTCTTCAATTGCTCAATTTGGTGCAGAAAATTAAAAACTCCATTCATTTCATTTCATTTATATGATTTTCACCAAACATGTATTGTTTAAAAGTTAACAGCGTCAGCAAGTGTCAAAATTTCACTTAAAACCTAAACTTTCTCAGGTTTTGACGCCTGGCTCCCTTGTGTCTACGTTAAAATCTTGAAGTTGATTTCTTACTTTCTTTTGCAGGCAATTTAAGTAATTTAACAACATTTAAAATTGATGACAACCATTTAACAAGTCTACCTAAATCTCTAGGAGGGTAAGTTATTCTGTCTAGGGAATACATGTTGTTGTGTCAAGCTTTAATTTGAGAAAATATGTCAAGAAGTTTTGCATCAGAAAAAGACAGAGATTAATTATATACAATATAGAAAATCTTTAAAAAAAATGGGAAAAGTTTGATAATTTACATTTTAAAAGTTAGACTTGTTGGATTTTAAATATTTTTGTGAAATGGGACCTTGTTTGAAGTAAAATTACAAAATGTACAACTACTGCCCTGTATAACTGTTGTCTAGTAACAATACTGATTATTTTCAGGTTAACATCACTATCAGAACTCAATGTTAGTACTAATGATTTAGAAGCATTACCACCTACTATTGGTTTTCTTAGAAATCTTAGAACATTTTATGCTGATGAGAATCTTTTAGAAATTCTGCCATCTGAGGTTAGTATATTATATACACATATATATCTACATTAAAGGGGAAAAATGGTTGTAGATTTTTAATGACATGGCAAGATATCCATGACACACAACTATATCTTCACAGTGCCAGTATTGTATGTTCAGTAAATGACATTTATAGATAGAATATTAAATAAAAAAGAACACTATTATTGATATACTACTCCTTCCTTTAATTTTTTCAATGTATTTTTTCCTGTATGTGAATTGAAATGTTGCAAAAACTAAAGGAAGGAGTAGTATAATATCCATAAATTATGACAATATCAAATTTTTTTTGGGCCCCTAAATTTGAAAAATCATTCACTATTTCTAGAATTATCCCTCATTATAGATTATTAATTTTAACTGTGTCATGTAGGCCTATGATCAATTTAATTAATTTACAAGGCTTAAAGCTTATTTTAAGTAAAAAAGAATCAATTTGGAGTTTCAAATCATGAATTTACGCGCTTTGGAAAAATCTCCCGACTTTTCACCCAATCTCCAGATTTTTCAAGGCAAATCTCAAGATTTTTTTTCCTGACCTGTACACATGTATGACCTCATTATGCTTTAAAACAGACATTAATAGGCAGACACTAAACAGCATGAATATCAAGTGACTGGATTGTGCTTTCTATTAGCATTGTTCCAGTCTAAGAAAACTGTTGATTTCATTTAATGAAAATTGAATCGTTTCACATCTTGTGTATATATTTGATAATGTATGAACAATATTATAATTTTAGCTTGGTAGTTGTAATGGATTAACAGTTTTATCACTACGTAGTAACAAGTTGACCTATATACCAGATGAATTGGGTCGAATACCAAAATTACGAGTCTTGAATCTGAGTGATAACTTTCTCAAATATTTACCATTTTCTGTGGTGAAATTAAAAAATCTTCAAGCATTATGGTTGACAGAAAATCAGGTAATAGTAATCATATTGATATATAGTGATATTAGTTTGTTATCACCTTACTTAGTGGTGCAGATTTTGTACTTACTTTGAAAAATTGAGGTTTTGAATGTTACAGACTGTAAAAAAACAGTTGAAAAAAAGGAGACTGTCCTCTGCCAGGCAAGAGTCTGAGATGTTCAACCTCATAAATCAGTTATTAGTCTTTCAGTGTCAGAAAATTGTTACATAATTCTCATTCATCACAAGAGTTACCAGTAATGTTGAGATATCTAATAAATTTTTTCTCCAATTACAAAAAAGGAAAAAAAAAGAAAAAGGGTGAAAACAATACAGCTTCGAGCTCGCACAGATCTGTCAGCTTCCGAGCTATCTTATGCCCTCTATAATTTCAGACAAAACCGTTAATAAGTTTACAGTCAGAATATGATGAAGAAAGTGAACGTAAAATATTAACATGTTATTTATTACCTCAGCAACCATCAAACTATACAGGTTGGTTCTTTTTATTATAATTTATCTCCACATTCTTACATTTTCTCTTGTGTTTGTTGGTTCATAATTCATTTTGGCCTGTAAGAAGGCTTTAATTTTGATCAGATTCTTTAAAATTTGGTATGTGTGTTGGTGAAAATTGTTTCTAATGTTAATTTAGCTTAAAATTTGCTTAGTTTTGTTATTTATTGGGTAAAAAAGGCTTTTTTGAAGAGAGGAGCTAAGGGCAAATTCGATAATTGGGCAATGCATTTTTAGCAACTGTATTAGTTTTGCAAAAGATTTTACCTACCCAGAGAAAAATATTTGAGTAAACAGTCAAATTTTTCTCAATTTTTCAAAAACCAAGAAAAATTAACATAGGTGTTATTTTTTAGCTGATGAAAAAGATGGTGACACAGATAGTTTTCATCCTTCTATATGGGAGGAAGAGAGGGGACGTAGACAGAAAATACAGTTTGAATTTGGTGAAGATATCAATGATAATGTAAGTTGTGTTTGTATTATTGGTTGCACCAAGTTCAATATCACCAAGTTATTGTTCTAAGCATTGTTCTTATGTTGTATTAACACTAAAAACTGTTATAGTTCTTTGTTTATAAATTTGATACAGTTATAGATACCCGGTATTTAATTTCTCCTAATACGATCTAAAGACATTTTTAAGGCAGGGGAATATTTTATAAGTTCGACCAAATTCTTCATTCTTGAGGAATATGGGTAATCAATTCATTTGGACCAACTGTAGGTCAACTTCTAGCATTGGTTTTGTTCCTATTTTTTCATCAGATTGATTTCATTGCATGTAAGATGAGAGTTGATTTTTAAACAGAATTTTAGGAAATATTACTAATGTCACGAGAAGCTATCTAAGATACTATTTAGATTGAAATCAAATTGATTTTAATTCCAATTAAACAGGAACATTTAGTAAGACGACCAACTCCTTATCCAAAAGATTTACGAGAGAAGGCTAGACATGCTAGAAATCTGGCGTTACGTCAAACACTAGGAGATAGAGATTATGAAGAAGGACAAGAGAATTATGGATTTGAACATGAGGTAATTCTATGTGGCCTTGATATAAACTGGCTTGGCTTTGGAACATAGCTAAATAAAAAGATGATCTCACAGTGTGCTTTGCTAAAATATATTCTAATGATAAAATTCTAAAAAATCTAATTTTCATTTGTTTGTGATATAATTAAAGACATTATTAAAACATAACTTGTTGTTAATCTGTGTTTAACGCTAGGCGTTCTTCAGACAACTCAGATGATCGCATAGTGTGAAACTCTGAGTTACAACATGATTCAACTTCTGTTTTGATATTTCTAAAGCACTCTACAATTGATGTAATGAACACTATATTAACAGTGAAAATATTGTATTATTGTAAAGACTAAAGACTGTTATTTCTACTATTGCATGTTAAAATAGTTGCATTTTGTTTACTTATACTTTCGTGTGGAAATGTTGTCACTAAGAACATTTATAGACTAAAATTGGTCTATGAGAAAGTTGTTATTTTTACTCCATATCAAATGTGATTTTAACACCATTGATTATTTGCTATTATAAACATATTTTAATATATTAACATTTAAATTGACCTGTCATCTATTATTTTTGGATTTTTGTTTTTGTCTGTGGCTTCATTTTTTCAATATTGTGTGAAGTGAGAAATTTAACTGTTTTATTAATCAGAAAATTATAAAATGGAAAAACAGAAATGAAAACATTTTTCAAAATTTATAAAGAAAATTTATTACAAATGAATCAATTGATATTTTGAACTATACAAAAATTTTAACTTCAATTTTCACAACAAAAAAAAACCCCAAAAATTCTTATCTTCTTTGATTTACACTTTGCATTCATATGAAACATTATGAAGTCATCAAATCAAATGATTAGAAATTTGTAAATATTTATAAAGTTGACAGGTCAAATTGTTTGTGATGTTATATCTAACATTATTAATTTGTTGGCAGGGTGGTTTAAAAACACGAGATATATCACCTCACCGTGGTCATAGGGACATTAAACCCTCATCACCATCCTCCTCCTTACAGGAAACACATAGATTATATAGATATGATAAGGTAAGAACACAAAAACACATAGATTGTATAGAAACACATAGATTATATAGAAAAACATAGATTATATAGAAGCACATAGATTTTATAGATATGATAAGGGAAGAACACATAAACACATAGATTATATAGATATAATAAGTAAGAACACAAAAACACATAGATTTTATACAAACACAGAGATTATATAGAAACACGTAGATTATAGAGAAATACATAGATTTTATAGATATGATAAAGTAAGAACAAGGAAACACATAGATTTTATAGGAACACATAGGTTATAAAGATATGATAAGGTAAGAACAAGGAAACACATAGATTATAAGGAAACACATAGATTATATGAAAACACATAGATTACATGGAAACACATAGATTATATGGAAACACGTAGGCTATATACGTATGATAAAGTATAATTATATTAGAATTGGAAGAGTATTGACTTTACTTGTTAATTCTATTTCCAGGAGAAGTTGATAAAAGATAAAGCTAGAATTCAACAACGTCATTCTGCTGAACATGATGATATGGTTTTAAGATCTCCAAAACCTAAACGCCATTTACTAGAAGGAAGAAGCCATAAAAAAGGTTAGAACACCTGATGATTTAAGTTATTTGGCCATGTTTCTTAGGATTTATGTTTCTGAACCAATTAATAGTCCCAAAAGTCATTTCATAATATTTTATATGCACTGAACTATCAGTGAAAATATGATTTTATACCTGGATTATTTTGTTGTATTTCCAGGTTTAGGTGATCAACCATCAACTAGAGCCAGACGTCCTGGTTCAAACCCTGAAATACCTCAATCTATAATAGATTCTAATAGTGCTAAAACAGGACATAATTCTGCTGAATGGCAATTTGATGCGTTAAATTATAAACAATTGCGTTATCATCATAAAGGACATAAGAAACGTATGCGAGACTATGATTCCGATACAGGTTACCGTAGTGATCAGGATATAGTTCGATTCCATAATCAGTATTTACATCATGGTAATAATAACAATAATAATCATAATCCACAACCTTTACCTCAATCTTCTAGCAGACGACGTTCTCGAGATACAGCAGGTTATGGAAGTGATCTTGAATCATACGTCAGTCAAACTCGTAATGCTGCTTACAAACACATTCCATTAACTCAACAATATGGTGCTCAAAGTGTTCCTTACGATTTGAATTCTAGGAATTTGGAATGGAGAAAAAGTGATAATCAGTCCCGCAGTAATTCTAAAAACAGTGTTCAAAATTATGATTACCATCCTCATCCACATAATGCACTTCTACATTCAAACACAAAACCTGTTCATGTTGATGTACATTCAGGCAGTGCTGATCATCTTCATGTTGATCCAATCAACAGTCGTGATAATTTGACTATCAACACAACGAACATGTTACCTAGTCCGTCCCCTAGTTTATTTCAACGTAGCCGTTTTATTGATCAGAGTACTCCAGTTTGTGTTGAACCATCACAAGATGGACACCTGTCTTCTTCATCCAGTATTGAAGAAAACAATAATGGGAAAGATTGGAAACGAGAATTATATACTTTGAGGGAAGAAAATTTGGCTACATCCAATCCAAAGTTGAATTATGTAAGTATCAAAGTCTCTTTATAACAAATATTCATTGTGTGTATTCTTATTATCTTCAAAAACTTGGCAGTCCAATGGGTGTCATGTGTGGCAGAGGATTTCTCTCTTTTGAAACAACTGATACTTTTCACAATTGGTGAGCCCAATTTAACCATCACAATTTTCCTTTTTTCAGTCTAGTCAGAGTATTGAAGGAGCCTCATCTATCCCACCACCATATCAACCAGCACCACCATATCACAAACAACCACATACACCAACAACTGACAGACGTTACTCACAATCACCTAGAATTCCTAATTCTCCACGTGCTGTCAGTGTAGAAAGAAGTCCATCAAATGTAGATAGATCATTCCAGCGAGATTTAGACTTTTGTTTACAAAAACGATTATCAGATCCAAGTATAAACCTACTGACCCATCAATTCAGTGAAATGGGATCACCATCCATCAGACGCACAAACCGCTCTGGGTCCTGTGAAATGTTAGATCACGATAATGTCCGTGCTCATACTCTACCTACTAATATGTATGATAATGGTGTTATGAATAGATATGAAGATGTAGCGATGTATAAAAGTGATCCTCCATCCCAAGTTTCCAGTTCAACTGACAGTGGTTATGGCCACAGTCATCAAACATTTGATAGAGCAAACGAATTCTTCCACAAATACTCAGGTGAGACAAATTTTTTTATTGTCATGGCCAAGAATTGACATGTTCCCATACAACACCAT